TAGTCTAAGACGCAAAACCGACTTAGTTTATGACGCATTCCTTACGGCCGGATTGCCTCTACGCACTTTCAGCTGATGGAACTTACAAATGAATAAAACTAAATTGAACTGAACTAGAAAAATATATATAATTGCTTGTTCCTAAATAGCCCTTTTCTTCTAACAAAAAACGATTTAGTACCTATGCTTTACGATTCCAGGTCGGTCATACTTCCATTTACCTTTTGCAGAAGTCATTTTCTGAATCGATTGGTCGCTCCAAAACTCTCTCAGAGGAGGCCAATCGAGTGCAGCCGGCCGTTCGTTCGGCTGTTCGTTGGCTACTTGACAAGCACGCGGAATTAGATGCCAATGCACGGGCTCAGTCCTCTCTTCTTACCTCTGCCGTCGACGAGCTGAATGACTTCACTCATGAAGTGGATGTCTGCAGGGGTGCTCTCAATTCCACAGAGCGCTCTTTCCGCCAATCTGTCCGAAAACTTCTTGCAGCTGGTTGTGACGTCGATCCGAATACTGTTAAAACCTCTACTGCTAGACGTCTGTCAGAGATGCGTTCGAATAGACCACTCCTCGAGGCCCAACTTGCCGCTCTCTACGACCTCTTTGGCAGCATTGCCACAACAGACCGAACACTTCACGTAAGTACTAAAGTCGCAGCTGACTTCTGCATTCAAATTAACGTTTACGTGATCCACAACTAAGACCTATGTGACCGTTTCCTTCAGGGTTTGAAAACGGAAGCAACACACCTCAAGGACCACACTCTACAATCATTCGCCTTGGAGCCCGAAAAAGTAGACGTGTGGCTGCATCAGCCTCTGACCAATGAAGTCACTCGCGCCGCCGAATTGGCCGAAGAACTGCGCTCCGTTACTGATTCTGTGGAGCTGGCTCTGGCTGCTAGTCAATCAACAGAGGAGAACTTGACAGCCCTCAACTATTGGTTGACCAAGCAAGAAGCCAGCTTGGACACCAACTTGCTTAAGGCCTCAACTTCTGATGAGCCCGTGGCTGAACTACAGGACAGTGGAGCACGCCAACAGGTGGAAATGAAAGGAAAGACTACGGCGCTTTATATGACTTTGAAGAACGCAGAGGAAGATCTTGCCTCACTGGTGAACTCTGACGCACCAGCCGATGAAATTGCCAAGGCACGCAGGGAGGTTCAGAGTGCGCAAGCTCTTGTCAAAAAGTGAGTCCAAGAGGTTGACCATGCTTGTAAATGTTGCCTGTCGCTGTTGTACTTTTCTTCGTTACGATCGACACAATTGCATCTCGATAAACTTATTCTGTTGAGAGGCAGACTAAACTCTTCGCTTCTGTCTCCTTCTTTTCAGAGCTGAAAAACTATCTGACCGCTTCGAAAGTAGAAGGACTGCCCTGGAGCAACTAGGTGATAAGTTAGCCCAAGCAGATCAGCTTTCTAGCGATATTCAAAACTGGCTGCAGAACACAAGGGCGGATCTGGCCTCAGGCTTTATTTCTCGAATGCCAGAAGAAAAGGCCT